TATATATATATACACACACACACACACACGCACACACACTTCTATATAATATTCCTTTATCTCACCATCACCACAATTAAGAGTATAGCTTAGAGGGGATAGGAGCCACTTCTCACTCTGTAACCTACATGCTGGCTCAAATGCCACATTCTCTACGCAGTCTTCAGTGACAGCCTCAACAGGAGAAAATATTCCTTGTTTCTTGCTGTGTTGTGTCAGCACTACCCTCTACTTCAAGATTTTTAGCACATTCCCATCCCTTTACCGAGCTCAAGCCCTTGGAAAATTAAAAGAAGCTCTTTCTCACAACACAGCTGGGATCCATGTGCTTAATATCAACCCTTTACCTAGCTCAAGCCTCAAGCCCTTGGAAAATTAAAAGAAGCTCTTTCTCACAACACAGCTGGGATCCATGTGCTTAATATCAAAACTAAATCTAGCCATGGGTAGACACATATTAACCAACCGAAATTACAATATGGCTCATTTTCTCCTAGTGCAATTACTTTTGGCTTTAAAACAATATGAATCATTAGGGTTCTAAATCTCTTCCGGCAGAGAAATGCACACTGTGAGCCGAATTCTCAGCACTGTGAATGTCATTAGTACAGGTTCCATAGACACGAACCTGCCGAGTTAATCCTCCTCCATTATCTCCATTAGCTAACGATGCACACAGTCACTGCACATAATTACTACTCTAACAGACGGGGACATTTGAAATATTAACTTTCCCACAGACTGACTTTTCAGTAAGCAGCTCTCAACGATTCATTATATTAATGTACATCAGCACACTCCTGTTAAATATGCATGACAGTTAAACACCATTGATGTTGCAAACCTTCCAATTTCATTTTTGGTATAATTTGTTACGTTTTAAATTTACTAGTATTCTAACGGCACCCAGCTAACATATGATATAGGTAAATTTAACTATCTGACTTATAAATAATCAGTATTATAACTAATTCTATGCATTCATCTATAAATACATCACAGACATTTTTATAAAATAAATTAATATGGTTTATAAGATCATGTAGCTTAAAGGTGCATAAAAGGATAAATTAATTTTCTTGGGCATTTAGTGGACAAATAATTCAAATTGAAATGTATCAAGAAATTAGCATATAATACATGACACCTAAAAGAAAAGGTGAAATGCAAATTACTATCTGGAGATCCAGTACTCCCAACGGGGCCTTGACTCTGCAAATCACCCTTAGCTTCAGTTGGCCCATATCATGGCACAAACGTGTCCAATGTACTCTGATGTCTCAAATGCCAATTGGCAACCTCCCTAAGTGAGTCTGCCTCAAAGAGCATTGTATTTTATCACTGTGCCCCTGTGCAGCCCTTTTATAAACCTTTGTGAATTCTGAGTTTATTCCGATAGGACATATAAAAATCAAATTAAAAACTCATCAGAAAAGAAAATAAAATTTCAAATAAAAGTAAAACGTACATCATGAACTTCATATCATGATCTGCTATGGTTGTTGGTTAATATGGCTACAGATTATAAACTTAAATATAATAATGAAATTACTAGTAATAGCCACAGCTTCATGTATCAATGGGTTACTTAACTTACTATGTGTCAGGCACTATAATTAATGCTTTAAACCCCTATCTCATTTAATTGCACAATAATCATGTGAAGGAGATATTAATATTGCCTGCATTTCACAGCTGAGAAAAGTGAAGGCTGCACAGATTAAATGACACATTCAAGGTTAAGGGCTTGGCAATGGAGAGGCCTGGCTCCACATCTATCCTCCTAACTACCCAGCGAAAACCTGGTTCTCAGTTCTGGAACCACTCCCTTGAGAGACTTCTCTGAAGTCTCAAAAGTTCATTTTCCTCTCTTAAAAAATTAGAATAAAAATACATGCCAGAATTATTGAGAACTAAATAAGGTAATTTATGAGAAATTACTGAGCAAAACCACAGAGCTACATAATTCTACTTATTATGTTATTCAAGAAATAAGAAAATAAAATGTTGAAAAATCAAGATATAACTGCTTATTGACTCAGTCGAAAATTTCCAAGTAAAACGCTGTACGTGGGTAAACTTTCCTTGTTGTTTATCTTGCTTAACCACAGAGGTGAATATGAATGTTTGCCTTTACTGTATCCTAAGAGATATCTATTAATAAATAAGCACTAATACAACAAGGCAGAAGTGAATATGAAACCAGCAATGCAACTTTGGAGGTGGATACCATGAATACTGTCATGTCACCAGATATGGCCTTTCAAAAGTTCTTCAAAACTAACTTTTCAAAACATTCCTCGAAGTCACTGTCAGATGCTAATTTACTATTACATAAATATACATATTGATACCTGGCAATATTTAAATCTCTAGGTTCAGAAAGGAAAAATAATATTGAAAAGCCTCATCATTTTAGATAAGTTACCATTGGGTGTAATTTTCCATTGTTTTTCTTTTTTATTTATTTTATTTTATTTTTTTTTAGAGAGAGAGTTTTGCTATAGGGTGCATATGCTCACTGGAAAGACAGAGAGATACAGAGAGACAGAAAATGAGAAATCACCACCCAGGGGGTATAGCTATACTACAATTTCGTCTACATTCTCTCGGGATTTGGGGCACACACATACACGTGCCTGGTGTGGGTTTTAAGCCTCCAGATCCAAGACACATTTAAGAACATGGAAATCTAGCAACATAATCATGACACCATCTGCATGTTCCCCAAAAAAGTATTTCATATGTATTATGTCAACCAAGATTAGGAAACTGGAATTCACCGAAGTTAATGATAAATCTATTAGGTTGTCTAGAGAGTCATGTATGTTTTTCTATGCAAAAATCTGTCATGACCTTCCCAACGACCCAATATATGATCTATATGGTGTGTGTGCACAGACAAGTGTATGTGTGTGTGTTGTGCCCGAGCACATGAGTGTCTATCACTCCAATTAAATATCGGAAAACAAAGAAGTGTCTGCCTTCTTTAGAATGAAAGAAATCAATTAAATACTTATAGTATATTAAAGTTAGCATTTAAAAATGATTAGGAGTAATAATTGGTAAAAAATAAATAAATAAATAAAAAGTAAAAAGTCCTAAAACACATGTAGCTCAATAACTACTTGTATTAAAAACACTAGACTCCCTCATGGCTGACCACAGCTTGAGTCCCGGATCTGGCAGCTTGAAAATCATGCCAGGAGTGTATGTGTACATGCCCAAAATCCCAGGAGGAGAATGGAGGAAAAGGGATTGTGGTGTTGTCACCCCCTTCGGGGGTGACTTCTCACTTTCTCTCTCTGTCTCTCTCTGTTGCTCTCTGGCAAAGCATACATCTCCTATGGTAAAAAAAAAATTTAAAAATTTAAAAATAGCAATCTTTTACCCTAAAATGAGACAAAATGCAGATGTGATAAGCTGGGGAACCCTGTGCCCTCTACTTACAACTGACTCAGATAATCACACATGAAGCCCCATCATGCCTTGGCTGTGGTTCCTTCTCATCCCATCCCATCCCCATTCCCATCCTGGGGGAACTACCCAGAATCCAGCTATTAAGTTTCTAAAGAAACCAAGGTCTTAAGATAAAGGTGTCTGGTGACAGGCACCTGGAGAATGTGAACAAATGCTCTTGCTACCATAACATTTTGCTGGAATTTCTTAGTAATCTGAGTATCACTACTCCTCGCAGCTCAATGACTAGTTGCCTAACCTGTATCATTGGTTAACGACTCTATGCCTTAGCTTCCTCATCTACACAGTAAACAAGCTGACTTCTGAAGTACCAAGACCTTCCCATTTTAGGAATTTTATATCCAGGTTTTATATGCCAAGGTTATCAGCTTTGTTTGCTATTTTCTAAGGCATGTCACTTTTGTGTATCTAGTGGCTTTTCATCTTTCTTTGTATCTATATTCCTAATCATTTGGAGGGATTTTTGTTTGTTTGTTTGTTTGACATAGGGTACATACACTCGCCAGGGAGAGAGAGACAGAGAGAGAAAGTAAGAAAGCTCCTACCCAGAGGGAATGGCACTGCTATCCCTTCTCCTCTATCCCCCTCTCAGAATTTTGGGCACACATGCACACATGCTTGGCATGTTTTCAGGCCTCCAGGTCTAGGATTTGAACCACAGAGTTGGCCATGTATTATCCAGTCTCTTAACCACTGTGCCATCTGCTGGTCCACTAGTACATGTAATTCCTTGATTTACTTTCAAGGCTCTTATGTCATTTAATGAGGAATTCAAAAACCTTAATTGCATAAACACATGAACATGCTAAGTTGCATTATGAAAGTCACTACTTGATGATGTCAGAGGTAAGAGAAATGCAAGAGTATGAAGAACCTGTGAGGTCCCCCTACCTCCCGGCCGCTCGTGTTCTCCATCCGTGTGTAACAACATGGCGATGGGCATTCCTACATTCTTGGATCTTCCAGCCACAAGCACATTTTTCCCAAATGTTTCAATTCCTTAAAATACAAAGTTTGACCAATGAAGAGTCAATAAGAAGCACATCTAACAGTTGAATAGCCGACTGCAACATCTTCCTAAAGTTTGAATTACGTTTGGATTACTGTCTAACTTGTCTATATGGTGTCCACATTTGTTATTTATAAAATTTTCTTTTTATGCTCTTTGGATTTGTCACTTTCTCTCTGATTATGCCCTCATTTAAAAACCACAAACAGTTTCCAGTTGCCATGAAATTATTTTTCAACATGAACAGTTCAAAGTGCAGAGGCTTAAAGTATATTAAAGACTAATTACAAACTAAGCAAAGTACAACAATGTCAGTGTAATTGGGGATCAAAATGAGCACAGCTGAAACAAAACGAAGGGGGAAAAAGTGTTTTTCACAAAGTTAATGTACTCTACTACATAGGCAAGAGCACTAAACTGAAAGACTTCAAAGGGCACGAAAGCTAAAGCCTGCATCTTCAACAGAATATCTCTTCTGGGTTCTGTTGCTTCATGAGTAAAATAAAGAAGTTAAAATTAAGGTTTTTCCAAATTCTAATATTCTAAGAGTGGTTTTAGGATTTGCTTTCCCTTGGAAATTTTCTCTACTGCTCAACAAAACAGCAGATTAGAAAGGAGTAGATGCTGCCAGAAAAGGAAGTGACAGTGACAGAGAAAGACAGAAAATCATCAACATACGAAACCATTTGGGATCAGTAAATGTCAGGAAAAAATCTCTACACACCTCGAGAGTCTCTGAGAACAATATTGCATCTAAATCAATTCAAGGGTCAATGTTTAGAATGAAAACCTTAGCCAAGAGAGATGGTTCATATATGATCAGTTTTTTTTTTTTAAGTAAGAAAAATATAAGACATTTTTAAAAGGTCTTTATCAAAATACATGCAGTTTATAGTTTAAAAGTAGGATGACATCGGTTCGATTTGGAAATCGACTCCCTGCGTATTGCAACTGCAGCTGTTTCCTGACACATTTCCTTCCTGTTATTTTACTTTGCGTTACACTTTGACGTCTATAACTTAATGCCTTTCCACAGACTGACATTTGCAGCTTCTCGTTTTCTGTCACTGTAAAGGACTGATGTGGTTCTATCAAGGCAAGGCACAAATGCTCATTCAGCACACAGCACCCAGGTCCTGCGGACCACCTGTTACCCACCTGTTCTTTTGATTATTTCCCAAACGGCGCTGGCAGTAGCAGAAATGAGAGACTGCTGATAAAGACACAGCCTTCCGATATTGATAATATGAAATCCATCTACATCTTTTTCTGGGGCAATTCCATTGCAAATTGTTCGCTCATCTATGTGATCTGAAAAGTAAATGATACTGGTTTCATTTTTAAATTGTTACTTACTTGGAAGTCTGACAAAATTCAGGGACCGATGACCGAAATTACATATGATTCAGCTGCAAGAAAGGTGTAAAATCAGTACTCTTCTTGCCACTGAAATACCCAAGAGTTCTTGAGTGATGGCAATAATGATCTGCCGTTACAATACATGCTGTTACAGAGCCGGAGTGGCTGGACTGGTGAAAAGGAAAAATAGGTCAAATAAAACGATATTATAAAATCTGAGAAGAGACAAGTGTTCTGTCTCTACCTCAGTACGTTGCATCGTTAGAGGGTTTAAATCCGTGTTTCTATGTTACATTTCCACTCACCGGATTTTCCTAAATACTTTAAGCACTGCAGATTAAAAGGGCTTTGTAAGCACCCTCATTAGTTCTTCCCTTCCTCTTAAATGACATAACAAAAAAACTAGTATAAAACACAAGCAGGTAGGGCCAGCAGATGATGTGAGGGTTAGGACTCCCACATGACTGACCACGGTTTGAGTCCCAGACTTGGTGGCTTGAGAATCATGCTGTGTGTGTACCTTTGCACCCAAAATCCTGAGAGGAGAATGGAGGAGAAGAGACTGTGGCATGGCCATCCCTCCTGAAGGGTGATTTCTCATTTTCTGTCTCTCTCTTTTTCTCTTGGCAAGTGCACATGTCCTGCGGCAAAAACATGAAAGAAAAAAGAAAAAAAATAAGCAATAACACACTCAACCTAAAATATCACTCTAGTTTGCTATATGGAGGAAAAAAATAACCTGAGTAATGAACTAATCAAATGAGATACAGGATGTCAAACATCTCATTTTAAATAGTAAGCAGTAAGCACAGAAATAGGAAAGAGGCTTACTACCCTATGCAGAGAAGCTTAGGTTCCTATTAACTCAGCGATTTACCCGGGCTCAATATGTTGAAATAAAAGTATATTTGATATGTAATGTGCTCTTTGTCCATTATGCAATGGATAACATTGAGACAAATTTAAAAATCATGACCTAAGCCCACCTTCAAACTGCTGTCAAAAAGCTATGCTACGGATATGATAACTTTTATATTCTAAAAGTGACTGCTGCCACTTTTCTTTAAGTAGATCCAAATTTACCATTAGGAGACTACCAAAATCCTTCAAATACATCAAAGTAGTCATTTGCATCATATTCAAATGGAAACCATTTTTGAAATGTCTCTCCAATCAATACTTGGTCGCTTTCAATAACTGCATTTATTCAATAATGTCTAGCAAGGTAAATCTCCATCTGTTTTCTCTAAGCAAAAGGTCATTACACAGATTCTATGGAAACAAACCTTTTTAGAAATTAGACGTTTAATGTATGAGGACAAAACAGTGGTTCCCTCTTTTTTTTTTTTTTAATCCAAATCATAGTGACTATGGGGATGATAGTAAATCATTTTTTCAGACACATACAACTTATGCAAAAGTGCTATAGTGTTTTTTTTAACAATAAAATCAAAAGTTTTATAAATGAAAAGAAAAAATATATTCAAAAAGGTGCCTTTTTTTTTTTTTTTTTGGTTAGGACTTAAACTAGTTTCTTTTTCTTTTTAGTTTATGATATTCCCAGGGAGGGAGAGAGAGAGGTACAGGTACACTCCCACCTGTAATCCACCCCCCCAGCCTGACCCAGCCTGGATCACAGACAGCCACACTCATACCCAGTATGTAAAGGGAGCCCTGGGGCTCAAACTTAGGACCTTTCTTCATAAAGTATCTAGAACTTCACTGTCCTCACTGTCCACTGATTAGTGCCCTGTCTCTTCATTTGCTCCATTCAGTCTATTCACAAGAAAACAGTAAGATTGTACTTCTGAAATGCATGTGTGATCACACCACTCTTCCACAATGCTTTTACCTTACAATGGTAAACCAGGCCCGGGATGATCCGTTCTATTCCAAAGCCCTAAATTATCTGTCTGTTCGCATCACTGGCCACTCTCCTGTTCTAACAATGTCCTAATATCATACCAGCCTCCTGGTTCCTTGAGAACGCCAGTCATGTTCTCCCCTTGGCTGTAGCCTTCTGCATGCCTGCAAAGCTTTTCCAAAAACAAAAACAAGATCTGTCGTGTTGGGTGAAACCCCTCCCTTCTTTGAAATATTTTCTTAAATGCCATATTCTCCTAAGGGACCACGTGACCACACGGTTTTAAAAGGCAGTTGTCATTTCTAGTAACGATGAACTCAGTTACATTGAACTAAACTTCTCACAGAAAACAATTGCAAACTTTGAAAATCTCATTTTAAAAACAAATGTAACTATCAGAAAACAATACTAACAACAGAAAAAAACTGGAGAAGAATAAACTTTTGAAAGAAAGAAATGTCACTGAAAGATTGTATTGTTCTGGAGCTTTTCTAGCCACAGAGCAGCTCAAATTTATATAGCAATATGCAGTCTTACGGGTTAATAAATGAAAGAATGAATTTAGGGGCTCCTGTCACTTTTGGAAGATTGAAGGAATATGTCAAGAAAAGAAGAAAGCCACAGAGAGGAGACATGAGTATTGTATATAGAAATTCTTCCCAAGTCTCTGACTGACCCCTGAATAACACACAAGGAAGCAGATCCCAAGAAACCCATCTAAGGCTGCAAGGACTGAGCAGAGATTGCAGCTGTGCCTCAGCAAAGGAGAAATAAGCATACAGTCCTCAATCTGATACAGACATTTACACAAAAGAAAATTACACTTAACATCATACTTAAGAGTGAAATAGTCGACTTCTCTCAAGACAAGGAGGGAAGGATTGGGGCCAGCAGGTGGCATAGTGGTTACGGTGCTGGACTCCTACATGGCAACTGTGGTTTCAGACCTGGCAGCGTGCTTTCTCATTTTTCCTCTCTCTTGCTCTCTCTGGTCCAATTGAAAAGGTAATAATAATAATAAATAAAATTAAATAAAACAATTCCTAAAAAAAAAAAAAGAAGGGAAGGATGACCACTTTATGCCATTTCTACTTAATGTTTTGTTGGTAATCCTACCTAGTATAATAAGATATGAAAAATTAAAAAGAGGTATAGTGATCAGAAGGGAAGAAATAAATCTCTCTAGTCACAGATGGCATAGTTGTTTATGCAGATACTTTGAAGGATTTACAAAACAATTACTAGAACTAATGAAGTCAACTTAGCACGATCACAGAATACAAACCAACATACAGAAAACAACTGTCTTTCTGTGTATAAACAGTAATTATCAGAGAACAAAAATTTGGGGTTAAGCAAGTAATGTGATAGTTAAGGTGGCTGGATCTCACATAGCTGACTGTGTGGTTTGAGTCCTGGACCCAGAGACTTGAAAAACACTCTGAGTGCATGTGTGTGAGTGCCCAAAATCCAGAGAGGAGAGGAAGAGAAGGGATTGTAGAGTGATGATCTTCCCGGGGTGAGGGTGGAGGATGCTTTCTCATTCTCACTCTTCCTCTTTCTCTCCCTGTCTCTCCAGCAAGTACACAAGTCCTATAACAAATTTTAGAAAAGAAAAGAAAGACATCTTGCAGGTTTTCTATCATGTGAAGAAACAGAGAGAAGCTAGTTACAAAGAGAGCTTTCACCAGAACCCTGAAGTGCTGGCACCTTGATCTCAGACTTTTAGCCTCCAGAACTATGAGAAAATAACTTCTTCTGTTTAAGCTATTCATTCTATGGTAGATTCTTTTGATAGCTCAAGCAGACTAATGAACCTCTGATCTGCTTTGTGCCACTCAACATCAGTTTGAATTTCATAGAATTTTATATAAATGGACTCACAGAGTAGGTATTCTCACTTGTCTAGATACTTTCACTCAGCATAGTTTTTTTGAGATTCATCCACACTACAGCATACAAAAATATTTTATCCCTTTTTTTGCTGAGTAATATTCCAATGTGTGGATATACCAAAATTTATCCATTTACCTACTGGTAAACATCTGGGTTGTTTTCTAGTTTTTGCCTATTAAAAATAAGGCTTCTATTAATATCTATGCACAAATCTATATATAAACACATATTTCCTTTTCTTTTCTTTGGAGCAAATAAGTAGCATGAATAACTGGGCCAATTGTTAGTTCATATAAATGTTTTAAGACACCACCAAACTATTTTCCAAAGTGTACCACTTTGCAAGTCCTTTAGCAAAACATAAGTGTATTCTACATTTTCACTGGTTTTGACCACTACACGATATGATTGACTGTCTTTTCAAAGTCAGTCATTCTAATAGGTTTGTAGCAGTAACTTATTATAGTTTTCATTTGGATTTCTCAAATGTCTAATGATGTTGACTTTAGTTTCATGTGATTATTTACACTTGTATTTCTTCTGCTAAAGTGTTCAAATCTTTTGAGAATTTTTGGTATCTATAAAGCTTGGGGTCCTTTGTGGTTTCTTGTCTGCTATTAATTTTAGAAAGTTTCTGCTATTATTACTTAAAATATTTTTTCCACTCTTTTCTCTCTTCTCCTTCTGGTATTCCAATCACATGTACATTTACAACTTTTAAAAATATCCCACAGTTCTTTAATGTTCTGTTCTGGGTTGTTGTTTTTTGGTTTTCATATCTTCTTTTTTCTGTTTATGTTTCAGTTTAAGATGTTTCTACTGGCATGACATTAACCTAACTGATTTTTTCCTTGGCCATTTTCAGTCTACAGTTGAACCTTTCAAAGCATTCTTCATTTCTATTATAGTTTTTTTTTATTTCTAACATTTCTTTTTCATTCTTTCTTATAGTTCCCATATCTCTTCTTTCATTACTCATAACCATTATGCCATCTATTGGTCCCGACAACATAACAATATTTAGTCCTCTGATCTATGAAATGGTAGACTGATCCATTTATTTGGGCCCTCTTTAATTTCTCTCAGGAATGTTTCATAGTTTTCTTTTCCTTTTCTTTTTCTTTTTCTTTTTTTTTTTTTTTTTTAGAAGTTTTTGCTCTAAGGCATGTACGCTTGCCAGAAAGACAGAGAG